TGAATCGTGTCGAGAATGTCCGCCTTGACGTGGGCGAGACCACCAACATCATCCCAAGTGACATTCGGAATCTTCGGGGCACCGACACTCTCCGAGTACGACGCTCGTGCTCTGCCCAACGCCAGCTCAAAGTCGTCCGCGGTCAGCGAGATACCTGCGTGGGCCAGATCCCGTTGGGGAAGCCCACTGAAACAAATGCACATTGAGAAGGGTGTAACAACGAGGGGAGGAAACAACTTACGTGGCTTTCGATGCTCGAGAGATGCTGGCAAAAAGGGCTTGATGCACCAGGTGTGCCAGATCTGAGGCGACAAGTGCGGCGGTCTGCGTTGCCAAGTATGATAGGGAGGAGTCTGGAGCAAGTGTGTGTCGCCCCAGAAGGGCAAAGAGCATCTCGTATCGCACTTTCTCCGATGGTGCCTAGAAACGATGAGTAAGATCCAACGAATGTAGGCATGATAGCACTCACCTCAATCGATATCTCGTGCTTGAAGGAGCTCAGGATTGATTTTGGCGTCTTATCAGACTCGCTCGTCGTACCAACAACAACAGTCGGATATCCAGTCATTTTCCAGTTGGCTTGCAGTTCATCTAGGCAATCGGATATGACGCTTCCTAGTCTGGAGTCTATTCCCGCTATCAGACCAGGAAGAACTTGAACGAGTACATTGTGGGCCCACCTTCTCCCTCGACATCAGGCTTCGGCTGCGTTGTCTGCACCAATGCCTCCAAATGTCGAAGAATCAAGATGCTTGGTGAGCACTCCGCGGCCTTCTCAAATCGGACTCGCAGATTCGCTTCAGTTTTGACGTCGGAATCGTCGATGATGTCGTAGCAGTCCACCTCGACAATGTGCAGGCCTAGAACGTGCGCTATCCAGCTGACGAGTGTAAACTTGCCACTGCCACGAGCGCCCTTCAGTAGAACGGTCATGGCAAGCGAGTATGATACTGCCTGGGATGTCAAGGCAGCAGAGACGTATGAGTGAAGTAGTTCGAAAGGACTAGAGTGTCCCAGAAGGTGGGAGGGTATCGACAGCGTTGTAAGCTGAGCAAACAATGCTTGAGGGCTTTGAGGGTCTATTCGAGCGGTTCAGCAGACGAAGTCAATGGATTGGGGAATAATGTACCTGAGCCCATGTATGTCCCCTGATTGGGTACGAACGAGTGCTCCACCCCTGTTTGTACCATTTGCGTCTGCGAGGAGCTTACCCAGCATCCCAGTTCGCCTGCCGCAGCTGCGTCCTGCTCTGGTAATGACAAAGGTTCATGCTGAAGGTTCGTTACGAGGAAATAAACCGTCTGATTTGCTCTCGAGGACTCCCTGTGTAGCTATGAATAACGGTGCACGCTTGATACCCAAATTGACACGCACCACAGGGTTTCGTCAAGCTCATCCTCGTCGTCGTTTTCTGGTGTTCGTGCAACAGCGGCTGCCCCGTCGGTATCAATCGGGATGCCGATAATGTCGCCCATCTTGACCAGCCTCTTTCGCTCTGCGAAGTACTCTTTCAAGCCTCTGAGAAACAAAGGTTGATACTTCTTGTCGGTGGAGAAGGGCGAAGCGACTCTGGCAATAGTGATTGATGTGGCGGTTGGTATCGTCGGGAGAGCGATATGTCGCAGAATCAGGTCCTCCGTTGCTTTGCTGCAGATGTTGTAAAGGACCGTTGGGGGCGCGGTGACAAGAGATGATGATTTCACGTATGTATCGGCAGCGGTTACACGAGCCAGGCGTTGTTTCATTGCGTCACTGGCTGAGGATACTATGACCTTTTCTCCGTCAGTGTGGATCTTCACAAATGAGAAGCAGGCTGCTATACCCAATCGCCTGTGCACACTCCAATTCTGCTTAGGTCTGAGGTGCGGATCCCCACTGTGAAGTCATTCGTAAAGGGTGGAAGCTGAGACGACAGAGGCTCCGGTTTGAAGGTGGGGCATGAGAGGTCTGCGTTGCCATTGCTGGTTGGAGGCGAGATGGCAAAATGGTCGTCCGCAAGGAATTCTTCGCCAATCTCGATGCCTTCTTCGTCTGTTCCAGACAACGATACAGTGTCCACGGTGTCATCAGGGTGAGAGGTGTCAGGTCGGATGAGGAGCAACTCGGTTTGTCCCGCTTTGGCTACTCCTTGAAGGACAGGCTGCAGCATGACGAGACGGAATCGATGAGACTCCATGAAGAGCACATCCCCTTGGCGCAAAACGAGCCGCTCACGACACAGAGCCTCTTCAACTGCTGATACGTGCGAGGAAGCCCACTCGTACGCCTCTTCCGATGATGCAGCGACGATGATCTCGCATAGCGTTACAGGCTTCAACCGGGAAATGACCACGGTGCCGACGCCGGACTCGTTAGTGGCGTGTAGGATGTGCTTGTAGCTCCTGTTCCATGAAGCGGGGATGGAGATGCCCGTCGTCTACTTCATAGACGAACTCTGAGCATCCTTGTTCGTGGAAGAGGATGCCGACCCACCTGCGCGTCTTCCGATGCCCAGCAGCATATTGACTCGAGAGCCTGTGATGAGTGCGGGGCTGAGTGTAGAGGCTGCACAGATATGTAGACTGGGCCGTCCGCAAGCTCTTCTGATTCGTCGAAGAGGCCTAGGGACCTCCATATATTCGAAGCGACTAGCACAGAGCTTGACGCGTCCGCTGTAGACTCCTGGAAGGTGAACGAGCTGGAAACCTTCGTGTCCATGAGTATTCCAAGTCTTCGCAAGGTGTAGAAGCTGTTAGAGACGCGAAACAACGAGGATGTGCGCCCAGGTAATCGAGAAATTGATGATGAAGGTGAACGCGAAAGAGCTTGATTCAGTTGCCGGCTTGCGCTTGTAGGCCGATCCGGTCGCGGGTGGGCGCTTCATCTGGCTAAGTGGCTTGTCTGGAACCATCAGCAGCTCTCCTTCACAGTTCTACAAGCATCGTTCCAGCGTCCTCATTCTCTCTCTGTAATCAAATCTCGTGTATCATGGCTAAAAGCAAGCTTTCTGTCACTCCCCCACTCAAGACGTCTCTCAAGTATCGGCTCCGTCAAACGCTCGTGTTCAAGAGCTGCAAGATTCGGATACGCAAGTATTCAGCCTTTGTAAATCGCCAGTCGACTCCTGCAGCGGAAATCACTGCTCAGATCCAGCACGACTCGAACGTCTCCGCCGTCGATACCCCTCAAGCCACTCCTGCCAGGTCTCATCTTCCCTCCTGCTCGATGAACGTCACGAAACATCAACCCCCTTTACCGCTGCCCACTCACGCATCTTTGGACTCGTGCATCGCGCTCCAGCATCATACCTCTGGTGATGACCAAGACATAATCATCATCTCCACACTCCCTGGGTTCCCCTTTTGTTGCCACGAAGATCTTCTTCATATGTCACAAGAACAGCTCATCCAGGTAGCGAACGCACTCAACGACCGACTGCCCGCTGCCCTCCGCATCGTCATCGAAGGGATCCCTGCAATAGACATCCGCCACGCAATCGAGCTGATCGTAGGAATCCGTCACTCTGCTCGCTTGCCACCCTTCCAGACTCCGCTGAACACCCCAGCGAAGGCGTCGCCGGCAAGATCATTGACAAGCTCCGCATCACAAGAATCTTACTACGAGCTCGCGCAACCCTCCGAGCACGTTCATCATTTCTTCGACGCGTCCAATCCTCCGATTAGCCCCATCGACCGTCATGGAAACATGTTGCTTCGCATGTACTCTCCTACATGCTTGACCAGGCTCGAAGAACGCGACGAGGAAGATCTGTCCGTTGACTCAATGAGCTCTCCAGCGCAACGGCGGATCGATACCATTTTATCGCGCACCAACTTCGCATCCCACGCGTTGACTCCCTCAAGAGCGGAGGGGATATGAGCCTAGCTCGCCCAGCAGAGGCTTCAACGACGAAGACTGGCGACCTCTCGGATTCTCTACATCCCAATACTCTCGTCATGACTCTCAAGAAGACTTTTCTTCTCACGACACATTCTACGGCTACTCCCCCATCAGAGAGGTGTCTCCCTGCATTCGCCCAAGCAATCCTACCCCCATCAGAGCGCAGTCCAGAATTTTAGCCTGTCCTCTGTCCGGTCTCCTAAAGCAACAGAGACCGCAATCACGACCATGTCCCCTCTGCCTGAAGACGGAACCCCAATTGCCACGAGGACCAGGAGCAAGGTGCCCATGTCCACTCTTAGCCTCAATGCTCTGATTGGTGGGACGGCTTCCAATGTCAAGCCTGCCGCTCGCAAGCGCGTCTCCAAGTCGATGTCGATGCTCTCGTAGATTACGCGGCGGCGTTATGGCGTTATGGTGAATATGGGTTTATCCCGGGACTCGAAGTGGTCCGGCTTTCTGCGTGGGTCGGCATACAGTGTCCGTTGAGGCTCAGTATCTTTTACCTTCATTTCCTTACATACTAGAAACCACATTCTACTTCTTGCTTGCTCCCTTGGTACACACATACTACAGCTATATACGTGTACATATGTATTCGCGTCGGTTGCCTGGAATTAAAAACTCTTTGACGCAGGAGATACGAGTGACTTGGAGTCCGCTACGAAAACTCTGTTGACGAGAAGTTCGTGGGCAAGTTCGTGGACTCATTCTCTCTTCGCTAAAAATGTCACCGTCCCTCCCCATGGGGCGCCGTTTTGCTCAGGGGTAGAGGGCGCGGTAGTACATGGGGGGTTTAGGCAAGTTCCCATCTCTGAGCTATGAGCATCCTTGAACCAAACGGCGCAGCTGCGCACTCGATATCGATACTCAAGGACGGCCACACCAGAAAAAATTGCCTAGAAATGTCGAGGAGTAGGAGATCTGACAAAGTGATGTTCTTGAGTGCTTGAGACCTCGATCAAACCACATGGCGGTGGTCCCCGAGTGTTGGTGGTGCGTCTGAGAGTGGACAAGCAAGTGCGCTCCACTCCTCCTACGAGGTTCGCCGTCTCTCCCAGTTCTTCGTTCTTCCTCTTTGTTTTTCTCTTCATATTGCTTGTATAATGGCCACTCTTCAAGGGCGTTTAGCTCAGGGGTAGAGCGCTCGCTTCGCATCTGGTCTCCGATGAGCCACTAGCACTTGCGAGAGGCCGTGGGTTCAATTCCCACAATGTCCACGTTGTTAAGAAAGCATCATTTTTGAGAGAGAGAGAGTGAGCTCAATTTTTTCTTGATAGTGAGAACGAATAACTTAGTCTCATCAGATTGACACATCCGTCTGATAGACTCTGTTTCCGAGGGGTGGCGAACTTTCACTTGCCCTCTCTCGGGAGCAATTGTATCTGAGTGTCCTTCAACCGAGGCTCTTACATAGACGCAACGAGCACCGCGGCCTTAGATCTGACAATTGACCACGCGCTTGCATACGCTCGATCCAGAAGCAACCTGTGAATGCGCTATGATAAAGTTTTTAAAAAGAGGATCGCATGACATTACTCAAGCCTGAGGGTATGAGATGATCAGCAATCATAAATACTGAGTTCCAGTGACATGCGAGTAACCAAAACTCTGTCCTATCAAACGACCCCGAAGACCAAGGAATTAGGATGAAGGGATGTCAAGCAACGATGGACACGACAACGGCCCAAACGAGAGATGGGCGAAATGAACGAATTGACTGCAAGTCTGTATGGGGTGAAGCCGCGACACCGAGTCCGTGTAATTAGTACCAATGAAACAGCAGGGTATCGTCTCAAACCAAGAACGCTCCCAGCACTACCATCACGCTCACGACCAGTGCACTCCCTCTGAGCCCAGCAGCACCACCTCCCTCTCCGTCGCCCGTTGGCACAGGCGGCAGAACGGTGATAGACGTCTTGATCTCTGTGTGTTGCGGCTCCTCCTCCTCGATGTTGCTCGGGGTCGGAACGATGTTCTGACCCCCGGTAGAGGATGCGCTGGTGGAGGCCTCGCTGGTCGAGGATGAGGATTCGGTAGACGATGTGGACTCCGAAGAGGACTCGGATTCTGAGCTAGAAGCGGAAGCGGAGGAGGATTCGGGCTCGACGGACGGGGATGAAGATTCGGTTACCGGAGGGGGTTGTGTGGTCGAAGAAGTTGCTGAAATACATTTGTAAGAAACACTGAACGGAGTCAGCAAGTGACAGCTACTCACCGGAAGTAGGGCCGGGCGTAGCTGAGCTTGATGAGGAGCTGACGCTGGAAGTATCATCGTCTAGCAAACGAGGTCAAGTCAGCTCCCGAAATCATGAATTAGAAAGATCACGAATCGACGCGTAGTCGCGCATCCGAGACACACCTTCACCGGCGCAAAATACGGGTAACAGCTCACGAGTGAGCTGAGCCTCTGCTTCACTGCACCTCTCTTCCACGCAAGCCATGATATCGCGACTAAACGTCGGAAGCGCGCAGACGCAGAATGTTGCTTCACTGCAAGAAGCGCAATAACTCAGAGTTAGATCACACCAGCAGGAAAGTGAACGTACACTGTGCCGCATTCTCCAGAAGCTTCGTTCCCGCAGATGATGGCACAATCAGGGAACTCCTCGAGCTGAGCGGTGACCCCAGAGACCAGAGCGGCAAGTAGCACAACAAAGAACTTGCTGGACATCATTGCTCTATCTGTGCTACTTATCGCTAAGCGAAGACAGAGATTGTGGGCGTTGACGATGGGAAGGAGAGAGAAGGGTCACGGTGGGAACAATCAACGGGCAATGCAATGGCAGCCGACCGAAAGAAAGTGGGGTCCATCAATGTATTTTGGTTCCGGCATCATTGAATGCCTCAATTCATTCCGTCCGTCATGAGGTTCACGTCGTAGTACTTGGTGGTGGCGGAAGATTCCAACTGCTTTAAGCTGCTTCTCACCCGATGCCAGAGCATGTGCAGTGTTGTACGTGAGGATAGGGTGACAGCTGCTCACTTTTTGGACAATTCTGCTGCGTAGGTTAACGGCAAACTGGCATGCTCGCAGTATGGAAATCAAGCGTGTTGAGGGAACCACGGGCACATGGCTGCTGTAGCGCTCATGTTCATGAAGATCCTTCGATCGTAATGCAGTCCCACGGGAATTTCATGCCGCGCATGTACAATGGGTCCGGGACGAATTCAAGCAAGTCCAAGGGTGGCGAAAGCGACCGCAGAATTCCGTGGATCTAAATGCTCACTGGAATTCAGAATGGCAGGCGCATGATAGTCAAGTTTCAAGTCCACGCATGGTGAAAGAGTAGAAGATAGAAGTCGAATCGCACAAGTGGTATCTTCGGGGTCACAAGCGAGTACTATATGCACATAACAAGTAGAGAATCACATCAACATGGACGTGAGCATTGCGCCGACTGCCAATACCACCGAAGACGAAACCGCCGCTTGAACAGCGCCTCCCTCATCACCAGTAGATTCACCCTGCTCGCCGCCGCCGCCTTGAGAGTCCTCTGGGGTAGCTGGACTGCCGTTCTCAGGCTGTCCGTCAGGAGCGCCGCCTGGACCAAGAGCACGGTGAATCAGTATCGGCATGACTTGGACTAATCTGAGAGAGAAGCTTACCGTCGCCCTCCCCAGCGGGCAGGTCAGTAAAGTTCGGTGCCTCAAACTCAACATCAACCTCCTTGCACGTCGCCGCCGTTTCTATCCACACACTGTCAGCCTCACGCAGCCTAAAAACACAACACACATATTACTAACCTTCATACGCCGACTGGATCGCCTCCCTATCGGCATTCGGGTTGGCAGTGAACACACATTGGTAGCAGGCCTTGATGTCGTCCAACATGCCCTTCACGGCGGCGCAGTACTCGCATCCGGGTTTGGTGGGGACGCAGTCGAAGTTCTCAAGTACGTCGAGTGTGGCGCAGAGTTCGGAGCAGTTTTCGTCTTGACGAGCGGTCAAGGTTGAGGCGGATGCTACAACTAACGGGGGTCAGTATACGTGCTTGTGAATATCCCGACCACCAGCGAATGGACGAGTGGTGGTGTGAAGGATGTGCTCACCAGCAGAGACCAGAGCAAGCGTGTAAGCAAGTTTCGAGTAGAGCATGTCAACGAGCAAGCTGAGGCGGTATACGGGATATGTAAAGGAGTGGATGGGTGTGCTTCACACGTTGTAAAGCGGTGGTCGTGAGTGAAGTGAAGGAGATCAAGGTCGAGGAAATGAAGTGCTGCTCCTCGCCAAGATCTTAGTTAATCTTGGTCAATTGAACGTGGTGATTGCCATGATGGCACGGTACTCCGAACATTTGCTAGCCCTGACAGTGTTTGTACGTTGAGGTGTGCGGAGGGACTCATCCACGAGTGGTAGAGCAGGTGGGCTCCAAGGTGAGGAAGAGGTCCGAGTCGTAGTGGGCGACGTTGACAAGGACCAAAGTGACCACGATCAAAACCGTGATCCCCGACCCCGGAGATCTCGCCTGTACAACTGTGGCCTCGAGAAGGCAGCACGGATTTGTGGTGTTACAGACGTCAATTATTACAAGTCACTAGTAGCATACGATACATCAGAGTCCACAGTGCAACGGAAGAGGAGTTATATCAGCGCTAGCAGCGAGAGCAGCGTCCATATCGAAAGTGTATGGTACCCGCAATGGGTGAAGCGGGACAGCGCGTGTGCGGAATCTACAGCAGAGACAACAGAATCACACCCAAACCAAGCCCCATTCCGGCAACAGAAATAGTGCCTCTCAGAGCAGCCCCGTCGTTATCTCCTTGAGTGACGTTGCTCTGCGTGGCTTGGGGAGGGTTCGGCGTGGTGCGAGTGGCAGAGGGAGAGGGAGTAGACGAAGACGGTCCTGATCCTGGCCCGTTTCCATCGAGCACGCTGGTTGGTTCAGGCCCGCTGTTATCCTCAGAGTCGGACGCCGTTGGCCCGGGGTTGTTGCTACCAGAAGAAGACTGCGAGCCCGCTATGAAAGCGCAATATCAGCGACATGTCCATCGAGACTGCGAGGAACACGTACAAGGACCTGCACCCTGCAAAGCCTCCTGGATGTTGGGAACTTGGATCTGGACATTCTGCGTCTGGGCACACTCATCCGCGAATTCTGTAGACACACAAGTGAGTTTGCGTCAAGCTACACATACATACAAGTTGGCAGGGCACACACGTTGAAGGTTCTGCTGGATTTCCTGGGGCTCGATCTGTGCGCCGTTCTGGATAAGACAGACGTAGCAGCCCGTGATTTCATTGACGTTATCCCCCATGACGGTGCAGAGCTGGCATCCCTGAGCGGCCAGTTCGCACTGGGGCTCGTCGAGCCTGTTGAGGGCCGTGCAAGGAGTCCTGCAGGCCTCCGGAAGATCAGGAGGGGGTTGGGGAGTCTGGGGATCCGGTTGGGGTTGGGGGTCGGGCTGGGGTTGGGGTTGGGGATCAGGTTGAGGATCTTGAGGATCGGGCTGTCCTTCGTCCTGACGAGCGACCAGGGCGTCGGTGCGAGCTGCGGTGACGGAGACTGTAATTTATTCAACATTGGTCAGGCCCCTTGTTGCAAAAATTCGAGGGGAGGATCGCAAATTGGCGTACCACAGGCAGCGATCAGCGCAAGAACTGGAGTTAATCTCGAGAACAGCATACTTGAGTATCTGAAGATGCGGTGGTAGAGGAACGAACGGTGAGCTCGATGATTATTCCTGAGAAACACGCCGCCCTTTTATAGAAGCCGCGCAAAGTTAGCCACGAGCAATCAAGGCGGGCACTTTGAACAGCATTGGCGCTACTGAGATGTATTAATTCGCTGGGTAAGGTTCATCAGCGCAGAGAAGGCAAGTATTGAGGAGAAGGCAGTCGTTAATCTGTGGAGCTGCTGCGTTCATCACCACATAGAAGGCAACGAATATGACTGGTGGATGGCATAGAAGCCAAAGTGTCAGTCTGTGCATCAACTACGCGGAAAGGCCCTAGATCGCTGAAAGCCACAAGAGCGGCTGGCAGCCGGACGGCATAGTATGAAGTGCTACATTATAGATAGCTCAGGTCATATTTGGGACAATCTGTGAACCCAAAGAGATAAAGTTGATGACCGTTCCGCAATAAAGCATTGACGTACCACGAAGAATCATTCCGTTCCCAGTGTAAGAGGTAACTTGGCAACATCCAATCCCTGAATGTGCGCAGCAAATTCAGAGTTCAATAGCAGTAGCCTAACTACTAGAGACGTAGATGGAC